CAGGGGATTTTTCTTAATAGAGGCCCATGGCAGAGCGGTTAAATGACTCTGAAGTCAGACTGCCTGGATCCTGGCTTGGCCATTTACAAGCTATGTAGCCTTGGGCACGTTACTTAAACTTTCTGTATTTCAGTTCCTTCAGCTATAACTCAAAACCAATCCTGCTGCCCTCTAGTGGATTCTGACTCATAGGAGTCAGAATCAGTATAACAGTCAGTATAACTGCCCCACAGCGTTTCCAAGGCTGTAATCTTTATGGAAGCAGACTGCTACATCTTTCCCATGGCAAGAATGGTGGGTTTGGACCACCGACCTTCACTGTGGCAGCAGGGCTCCTTTCTTCAGCTGAAAACCAAGGGTAATAATTGTCTCTGGGTTGTTGTGAGGATTAAAAGAGTTATATGTAAAAAAGCATCTATAACAGTATCTAGCTTGGAGTAAGGTTGCTAAATAAAGAAAATGAAATTCAGTGTAGTTGGACCCCAAGCCCCCTTCTGAAACGCTGGCCATGCTCAAACCATGAGGGAGGGCTGCCTGTGTTAGAAATGCTGCTCGTCTGAGACTGTAGTTGCATTAGCATCCATGTTGACCTCAGTTGTGTTGTGTATTGTGTTGTCTGTTGCTTTAGGACAGTGTTCTCATATTTGAACATGCTCAGATTCACCTGGAGGCCTTCCTAAACACAGATTGCTGGGCCCCACCTCCAGAGTTTCTGTTCCAGTGGGTTTGGGTGGCCTGGTAAATTTCCATTTCTATTAAATTCTAATAAGTTTGCAGAGGAAGCGAATATGCTGGTCCAGGGGTGTTCTTTGAGAACCACAGTTCCAGAATAATGGTTCCAATCCTGGCTGCACATAGAACTATACGGGGAGTGTAAAAGAATTCCATGTTCAGTTGCCCCAGACCAATTAAATCAGAATCTCTGAGGAGAGGGCCCCATCATTATTTTTTAGAGCTTCCCAAGCAATTCTAGATCTGGTGGTGTAGTGCCTAAGGCATTTGACTGCTAACCAAGAAAACTGGTGGTTCAAACCCACTCGGAAGGAAGACTGGGCAATTACTTCTGTAGTGATACCGCCTCGGAAACGCTTGGGGTTGATATGAGTGGGAAAAGACTCAGTGGCCGTGAGTTTGGTGGTTTAGGAAGCAATTCTAAAGCACAGTCAAGTTTGAGAACCGTAGCTCTGTTGTCAGTATGCTGCTGAAATCTGTATAAATTTAAATGTTGGAGTGATACCACCTACATTTTGTAGATGAAAAAACTGAAGCTTGGTGCAGTGTTTCTCACACTCCTTATACATGCTGATTTTCAATGCCCCAACCCCAGATCTACTGAATCAGTTTTTGTGGGGTGGAGGGTGGGTGTTAGGGGGACAGACTCAGGAATCTGCATTTTAATGAGCACCTCAGGAATCCCTTATGCACATTTAGGTTTCTGACCTGCCTGAAGACACACTGCCAGTATGTGGTGGAGTTTCTGTCTCTTGTCTCTGATCTAATCAGCCAGAAATACTGTAATTATGAAACACAGAAAGCTTTGCGTTTTACTGTTTTGTTTTCCCTAAGCTTACTCACTCAAGAAATATATACTAAGGTCCTTAATGTACATATCAGACTCTGTGACAGGAGGTAGGCCAGTAATAAAATCTATTCAAATGCTACTTAGAGGGTCACCTGTATTTTGATCACATACACTAGGATTTGAACTTAAAAAGGACAAATTACAAAAGGTGGTTAAGGGCACTGCTCTGGAGTCAGACAGCCTGTACCCTCTGCCAGTGATTACTGTGCAACCTTGGGCAGTCACTCAATCTCTCTGTGCCCCAATTTCCTCAACTGATCAGGAGCTCTGGTAGCATAGTGTTTAAGGCACTTGACTGCTCACCAGAAGGCTGGCGGTTCAAACCCACCAGCCACTCCTTGAAAGAAAGGTTGGGCAATCTACTTCCATAAGTGATTCTGCCTCGGAAACCCAAGGAGGGGTCGCTATGAGTCGGATCCCACTTGATGGCAAATAACAACAACAACAACAACAGTGCAGATAATCAGCTGCTGTTGAGTCAATCCCAATTCATGGTGACCCCATGTGTGTGAGAGCAGAACTGTGCTCCATAGGGTTTCTGATGGCTGATTCTTCAAAAGTCCATCACCAGGCCTTTCTTCCAGGTGCCTCTAGGTGGACTTGAACTTCCAACCTTGCAGTAAGCAGCTGAGCCAGTTAGCCATTTGTACCACTCTGGAATGAATGAGTTCATTTAGTGAATTAATTAATTGAAGGAGGATAAATTAATTAGTTCAATATAAAGGGGTTAAAACAGTGTCTGGCACATAGTAAGTGCCCAAAGGGTTTCACATGGGGTCACCATGAGTCAGAGTTGATGGCAACTGGTTTCTGTTGTTGTTTTTGGTGCCTGGTATTTGGCTAATGTTTTCTATGATGCTTTTTACTTTTATTGTTATCTGCACAGCAGACCTACATGCTCAAACAAAAAAAAATAGTTTATAAACTTGAAAGTTGTTTTATATAGTGTATAATGCAGGAAATCTGTAAAACTAAAATATAAATGCTAGAAAGTTTTTTTTTAAAAAAAATGCATGGGGTATGCAAGAAAATCACTAAAGAATTCGAGCTCCTCTTGGGACATTTTCTGCAAAAAATCAGGTAAGCATTTTTCACAGTCCCACTGGGTGTGACAATAAAAATAACACATTCCTGTGATGGCCCTCCAGTCGGCTCAACCCACATGGAGGAGCTTCTGAGAAACAGAATTCTGGACTTAGAAGTAGAATGGCTTTGGTTACTTAGGAAAACAGGCAGATTCATCAAAATTACAACTCTTCAATTACATAATTTTACTCACAGACCTGGCTTTGTTGAATGTGGTTTCTTCTGCTTTTGCCTTGTTCCGGAACTTCAATCTGCTAAATAGATTAGCGAAATGTCAGCCAGGAGGAGCAAACACACAAACACCCTGTCGAACGAGCACATTTCCCCTTCCACAGTAATCCTCTTAATGGTCTTGAGGGCTGCCAGTCAGCGGGACACCTGCATGTCATCTGCACACTCCCCCTTACATTGCAAGTATCTAAATGGTCCAGAAATCGACTCCAAAAGTTAAGCGAAGCTTAATGTTTAATACTGGTTGTTGCCCATGGATTTTCTGATAACAAAGCTTTAAAAAGGACTTCACACAAAATTAAGTGTACTTACAAATCCTGAACTAATCCACAGCATTCCAATCCATATGCTGAATCAAAGCCAAACAGGGCTTTGATTAATCAAAGGGCATTGTTAATCAAATGACAAATCAAACTGAAGTTCAAGACACTTGACTATACCTCATAGACATAAAGTAAACCTAGTATAACAGCCAGGGTCCCAGCAGGAAACAGATGGTGCACTCATATGGGGTAATTGAGGAGGGTTTCAAAAAGAACCATTTAACTGTTTAACGGGGGTGTGGGCAGGGTTGAGGGGAGCCAAAGAAGGGATGTTGGAGCTCCCACGGGCTGGCACAAAGGGGTTAAGGGGACATAGGGGGAATTCTTACCACCTCTTGGCCTGAGTCCCTGGGCGGTACAAATGGATACTGTACTCTGCTGCTAATCCAAAGGTTGGGAGTTCAAATCTACCCAGAGATGCTTTGGAAGAAAGGTCTAGCAAACTACTTATGAAAAATCAATCATTGAATATCCTATGGAGCATAGCTCTATTCTGACACAGACTGGGTCATCACGAGTCGAAGTCAACTGGACAGGCAATTTTTCTACGTAAGGCATTTGACTGCTAACCAGGAGGTTGACGGTTCAAACCCACCAGTCACTCCACAGAAGAAGACCAGGCAATCTACTTCCTTAAAGATTTACTGCCTCAGAAACCCAATGGGGTCACTGTGAGTCAGAATTGACTTTGTGGCAGTGGGTTCTATTTTTTTTAAAAGCCCTGATGGGAAAGGGGGAGGAGTTACTACCAGAACCTGAAAGATTAGCTGTAGCTGTAGGGAGAGGGTGCCTGCTAGAAGCTATGACCCTCAGTAGGACATACCAACCACAGAGACCTAGCAGGGACAGAGTTGGAAAAATAAATGCACCAGTCTCACTTTTCTCCCACCCTCCAGTCTCTACTGGGTTTCCCATTGGGTGAACCCAATCAGGGTTTAGAGAGCAAAGCCATGGTACATATCACACAGAGGTCAGGCTTCTAGGGCACAGAGAAGGGTAGGAAAGAGTCAAGAAGCAAACAGAGTGTCTGGCAGACCTAGGAAATGTGACCTAACCAGGGCTTGTAGGAAAGAGTTCTTAGGTTCTTCTTACTAAAAAGAAAGGAACTATACCATTAAACAAATATGTTTAATATAATATAATGTACATATCTCAAACATGGCATAGAACTTATCCCTCTGTATTTGTAAATTCTCTTTATAACTGTCTGTCTCTTCTAACAAATAAGCTCCTTGACACTGGATTCTCAGTTCCCAGCCTTTGCATAATAAATATACCTGTTACTGTTGAGTAATTCTGACACGTAGTGCCCTATAGGAGAGAGTAGAATGGCTCTACAGGGTTTCCAAGGCTGTAATCTTTATGCAAGCAGACTGCCACATCTTTCCCCCTCAGAGCAACTTGTGGGTTGGTTAGCAGCTGAGCGCTTAAGCACTGTGCTACTAAGGCTCTTGACATAATAAATATAGGCATTCATAAATGATAGAGCCAAACCAAACCAAGCTCACAGCTATCGAGTTAATTCCAACTCATAGCAACCCCTATCGAGTTCCCAAGGCTGTAAATCTTTACACTGCCTTATCTTTCTTCCATGGAGCAGCTGGTGGGTTTGAACCACTGACCTTTTGGTTAGCAGCCCAATGCCTTAACCACCACACCACCACAGCTCCTTATAAATGATAAAACCAAAACTCACTGCCATTGAGTCGATTCTGACTCATAGCAACCCCCATTGGGTTTCTGAGGCAGTAACTCTTTACAGAAGTAGATTGCCATGGAGTGGCTCTTGGGTTTGAACTGCCAACCTTCTCGTTAGTAGTCAAATGCCTTAGGCACTACGCCACCAGAACTCCTTTTATAAATGATAGAAAGGGTAAATCAATTATTATCATTCAAGAGAAAATATAATGTGGATATTTAAAAATATGTGGGCCATGTAATAATACTACACTACAAAAGAGCAATCAATTCTTAAGTATGCTTAACTTAATTCTGTTTATTGCTATAAGGACCAACACGTAGGACTTCTTTTAGGTTAGTATTCATAATGGAAGTGTTCCTATGTTCAACACCTGTTTCAATAACTTTTTAAAAGTTCTGCTTCTAGGGGCCATCTACTTTATTTACAACACTTGTTTGTTACCATTTCCTCAACTTCCCCCCACCCAGAATCTTCATATTTCTAAAACTCTTAGAATCAGAATTTGCCTTGGAAAAGAGAAAATTCTGTGTCTTAGTCCATACACACCTATAAATGACATGTGTTAGTTCAGGTTTTGTGTATTTACCTAACAACCACTGAAGGACAAGGCCAAGATTTCTATGATTCCTTTAAGGGCCACAAAAGGCCATGTTCTAGTCAACTGTATTTTGTGTGGGGCCCAGAACACAGTATGAGTTCAAGCAGAGAATGACCTGTCTCCAGGGCCCCATTTTTATCCAGGAAATTTGTAGATGAAGTTCCAGATTGAAGTGTGGACTGTCCCTACAACATTAAAAAGTCCTGAAGGTCCAGTTTTCAAGAAGCGTCTTAACTTTCTTTCCAAGAATCAAAATAAGGGAATAAAATTAAACTTGTGGAAAGAAAATTTGGTGAGTATTTGGATAAAAAATACAAGTACTGAGTAATAGGTTGATTTTGCCATTAGCCACAGTGATAAATTATAGATTTCTATTCGTGTGCAAATCTGAGAAGCATAGTTAATGTGGTTTTCTTGAAACTTTAAATAGATCACCACACTCTCCAATCTGTTGAGCAAACTCTTTGCTATTCATTGCACAAGTATTTCCTGCATCAAGTAGCTTCCATTTCATTCATCCACATGGAAGAGCACTTGTCTTTTTAGAGGGGCTCCTTCAGTTAATTACTTTCCTTCTCTCTTTCTACTACTTCTTTTAAATTTATAATGATGGGAGCCTAAGGGGCCCATCTTGAATAGGAAGGTGGATTTTTATTACTCTTTTAAAAATAGCTTCCTTGATTCCTTTATTGTTTCGATTTGCTATTCTAGTACAAGTTGAAGGAATCCTGCTGCACAGTGGTTAAGTGCTCAGCTCCTAACCAAAAGGTCAGCAGTTCAAACCTACCACCTACTCTGTGGAGGAATGACATGGTGAGGGCAATGGGTTTGGGTTTAGCACATTCTTAATTGTTCAAACAGCAAGAGGCAATGAATTTCATTTTCCCTGAAAAAAATTTTCTGTTCTAGAAGACGAACAAGTATAAGATGTAAGTAAGTATTCCCTTAGAAAAAAGCTGCACAGCCAAGTATTCACAGATTGATGTAAAACTAAAGATGTCATCTAACTAAATTTAAATGAAAACTTCAGGAAAATTTTCCAAATGTTTTA